TTTTTTTTTTCCTTTATATATGTATATTTCATTTGTTTGTGAGGTTGAGAAAAAGAGAAAAATAAAAAATTTCTTTTTTCTTGTATGGCCAAAAGGTGTGGCCTAACCATACAAAGGTCTCTGGTGCTTTTTTTCTTTTTAAGTAATTATTATTATTATTATTATTATTATTAATTTTTGGATGTGATTAAAAAATAAATAAATAATTGTTTATATGAAGAAAAATCTCAAGTATATATATATATATATATATATATATATATATATATATGTAGCTCTCGGCCCACCCACCAACCGACCCCAAACCCCATTCATCTGGGTTCTGTGCAACGCATGTGACCGATTTTGTAGCATTGCCCTTTGTTTTATCAATAGAGTATAAAAAATGAAACCTGTAAAGGTTTTGGAAACATGTACGCAGCATATATGTAGTTGTTCTGTTAAGAGAAGGTGTGGTGATGGTTAATGAAGGGACTCAGAGTTGGTCCCTCACTGCATTAAAAACACTCCTTAACCCATCACCACTCCTCCTCCTCCTCCTCCTGACCCATCTACTGTCTCGTCTACTCTGTTTTTCATATATTTCTTTTCCTTATTTTCCAAAACGCGCCAACCATAGTTGCTTATATGTAGATTGCTTCGGACCGATGGGTAACCCGGTGGTACCATGAATTGTCTTCCAACTCTAACTCCGATGATTTGTAAAATACGATGGGAGAGGTCTCGACAGTAAATCATCCGACGCTCAAATCAGATTTATTTGACTGAACTGTTTGTAATTTGGAATTCATAATGTAGGATAATAAGATATACATAACCTAATAACCTCATTTTATGTGGAGGTTGTCGACTTATGTATGGTCCATGTAACTTTATTACTATGAAAGAAGTTTTGTTGTATCTCATTTCATAGTAAGATGCATCTTTTAGATTTCCGCAATTACTTAGGTGTGCCCTGTGTGTCAGGGCCTTATGTGAATAACATCCCCTCTAAAGGCGCGTGAGAAGTAAGGAGGTAAGTGTTTTTTTTTTCAAATGAAACATGTGTCCCATTTTTATTGAATAATGAATTTCATTTATCATATTATATAAATTAAATTATCATCTATATTTTGTATCACAAAATAAAAATAAAAATACCAAAATTCATAATTTTTCATTCTCTACAAATAGAGACCACATTTGATATTTTTTAGAACACAATTAATTTATCATTTTTTACAATTAATTTATCTTATTGTAAAATTATGACACAAATCTATAATTAGATGAATATGTTACATAGTAAGATGATCATGTTATAGAGTAAGATGAACATGTCATAGAATAAGATGAAAATGTTACATTTTCACAGATGAAATTTAGATGAACATATTCTAAAATAAGATGAACATGTTACATAATAAAATGAACATGTTATAGAATAAAATGAACATGTTACATAATAAAATGAACATATTATAGAATAAGCTGAACACGTTACATACATAATAAAATGAACATGTTATAGAATAAGATGAACATGTTACATAATAAAATGAACATGTTATATAATAAGCTGAGCATGTTACATAATAAAATGAACATGTTATAGA